ATTCGCCAATGGAACTCTTTGCCGGAGTTTGTTGTTAATTCCCCTACCGTGAACGTGTTGAAGAGACAACTGGATGCTTACCTGCTGAAAGGCAACCCGAACTGCCGAAGCCTGATCTAATAGATTACTGAAATGACTATACATATACTACTAACAAGAGTTCAACAGATCCTATTTTGTGCGTCAAACTTAGCCCACATTGAAATTTTCACAGTCCGAATGAGGAGAACAAAGTTTTTCGCAATTATTTCGCGCATATAATACCCCTTTCGCCTTTATGTTACATTATTAGATTTATGAATTCTCCTTACTTAACTACAAGCAAAAGCTTTACAATTTAATTATTTTCCCTTATATCTGTACCCTCTAAATGGAGTTTTCAGGGCTTCTGTCGTTTACTCCAAATATACTGACTGACTGACAAAGGGCTGCATCACTCTTCCTAAAATATGCCAGATTTCGGTCCTCGATTTTCTTGAAACCGAAGGACCGTCAATAGCCAAGTTTACAGCCACATTGTCTGCTGCGAGTACAGTATTCTTATGTAGTAGTCTACAATTTGACTTACCAAACCTACGTGCACGTACTACCCACTACCTATGGGGTTGCCTGTAGGCTATACGAAGCTCCCAAAAACGTCCTTGGAATTATGGGCAGTTTGAGAACAATAGGCCTAAATATATCCAGAAGATCCCGCAGGTACGAGTGCGTTATGCTGTATGTAAGAGGCCAGTTTCGCAACTTCTGAACCGTTCTATTATCTACTGGAAAACAGCGACTACTTCCACTCGCTGTCTCTTCTGAAACTTCTGGATGAACGAATTCCGATGGACTGCTGGTAAGCAATGTGTACACTGCTGATTCACGAGACTCTCCCAACTAGTTACATTTAGCTAATGCATTCTGCAAAGTCTATTCCGATCTTTGTCTTTTCTGGACAACTTCTTTAATTCCACAACGAACCCCGTCCGCACATCTCCTTATCCAACGTATACGTGTGCTCTCAGACTCCTGGTTGAACAATATTAACAAAAATGCAAAAAGAGTTAGGAGGTGTCAATCAAAAACAGCAATATCACTCAAGCGCAGTCACGTCACTTACGTCACGCCGTCAACACAATACGACAGTTCGATCATCGTTGCCGACGATGTCCACCGTGTGCTACACAGCAAGGTTAGCAGGCACGACGACCTGCGCGTTAATCCGTTTATAGTGAATGCAGACTTGATTTCCATCTACCGCACTTTCCTCCCCACCTGGACCCGGTGTTAAGACATAGTCAAAAAGACCGACTTCGGGGGAAGGTGCAGGTGGATGGCACTGTAAAACCCGCACTTTGGCGTCCCACTACACACCCCCTGGTCCACACAGCTAATGACCAGGCTTTTGGCCAACAACAACAATAACAACAACATTAACAACAAGACGCCAGCGGGAGACAGAAGGACGAGGATGACTGGGCAGCTATGCCCAACACCTGTATGCACAGCGGGAGCGCAAGCACATCTATCGGCCGAGAACCAGATTTCATGGAACTGCCAACGCATACCAGGCTGCGGTGTCCATGGTTTGCTGATACTGGCATAGCACACGCATGCAGACCTTTTGACCTAGAAGAGCGACACGTGGCCCTGCGTTTAGCCTAGATCACCACCCTTCACTGTGGGGTAACCAAACACTCGTCGACTGTGAGACATTATCCACAAAGCGCACGCGCAAACGCAAACACTCTCCTCACTTGAACGAGAGTGTCACAAATCGTTGGAGGAGGGACCGTGACAGCCTGGCTCTCAGCGCACCAGTCCGTCACTCTACACAACACACAACTAGGCAGACTGCGTGGACTGAGTTGGGGCGTGGGTCGGTTGCCTTCCAAGCCACGGCGCTCGACGCACCGTGATTGTCTCAGATTCCGATCAAACATGCAGCAGGGGAGCCGCATGGAGAAGGAGTCGAGACGCACACTCCCCACTTGCGTTGGAAGTGGCAGTTTGGTGCGTGCGATGGGTGGTGTTGATGTGGGGTGAGATGCTGGTGAGGGATGATGTGATGGTGTGGTTTAGCCGGCGGTTGTCTACCACAGGTTTTCGTGGACGCACACGTGGCCTAATGGACCATGCGGTGGGTAAGTGTGCGAGTGCAATGTGGACAGTGGAAGCGGATGCGTCGAGTGTAGGTTGCTGCTCCAGGCACTGGTTCGCCAGTCTCTGTGCGATGGATTTTCAAGTGAACGTCCAGACCGATGTGTGAGGTGAAGGTGCGATCGCAAGGGGAATGGGTATAGACCAGATCCTAGTCACTGGTGATGACTATGGCGGTGGTGTCGGTGTTTTTTGATGCACCAGGGGACGTAAAGGTGTCCAGCTGTGGGTCCACATGACGATCGTAGTAGGCCGCTCGTTTGCTTGTAGGTGTGATATACGCCTAGTGTTCATTTGCTGGTACCAAACTTTCAAATGTGGCTCCCAGAAGCTAGGCTCTGCCTAGCGGCCACACCCCGATAACCACCTTCAACGGCGGGCTAAACCAGGTGAGGGTATCCGTGTGTCCATCTCATCACACGGCAACTCGGCTCTGTTGGCCGGATGAATCACAACCTCGGTATCTCCGAGACGAGACTCCACCTGCAACACCGCAGGAGGCTACAAGGTAAGTAAGCGCCAGCATAAGCGAACATTGCTCTACTGACTTTACTTTATTTGTTTTTGCTTGCTTGCTTTCTGTGTGCTTGTTCGTGTTAGTCCTTATTGAAAGCTAAATGCCGTTCCATTGAATTTCCTCTGTCTGCCTTTGCTTCTGCTGGTTCCCGATTGCCTGCCCTTCGTCTGATTGTTTCTGTTTGTCTTTGCTCTACGCTAACTGTAGTTCCTCTGCATCTATTTGCTCATCGCTTATATTTTAGCAAATAGTTCGCTCAGAGAGGGACGGATAATTTCTGCTTCCCGTCTATTTACCCTTTCCACCTCCCCCCTCCCGCCCCTGCAAGCACTACGACGATGTCGTAGGCAGGCCCAGGCTAACTCGGGTCGTTCTTCCACATCACAAAACTCGTGGCCCATAGTGGGGTTCGGCAGCCGTCTAGGACAACTGTGCAGCCCTATTTTGGGAAAGCCCTGCTCACACCCCGCGAGGGTGAGGGGGCTAGAATAGGTGCCCTAAGCAAATGCTGGGGACCCACGCCATCTGCAGGCTAACCGTGGCCTCAGACGCAAAACTCACGATTGAAATAATCAAACAATAAAAATAATAATAATTGTTAATTAAAGACCCGTCGGGATCCCAGCAAAGCAAGTAAAAATAAATTTACATGCCAATTTTAGACGAGGTAGGCAAAATCTGTACAAAGTGCAATGCACATTTTTTTCAATTAGAAGTCCGTTACGAACAATGATAAGCGAGGGATGAAAAAAAAACT